TTCTGCCAGGCAAGAGTGCCCCACAGGCTGGGAGATTTTCATTTCGTTGGGAAGAATATCTTGCCACCCTATCCAGGCATCGGGACCCACGCTGGCGGATATCATCCTTCAGAAGATCCAGGCAGATGAAGTTGCACATTAGGTAGCTCTGTAGTGATCACATGCCACCTCTTCAAACTGAAGAGTGCTTGGAGAAATGGGGACGCCTTGTCAGCGCCCACAGCAGATTTTCTTGAAGACGTCACTGCACGCCAAGTGTTGAGCGGCCCTGATCACCGATTATGAGACAAAATTCCGAGAACAGCTCATGTTCTGCAAGGAGGCTGCAGCACGCAAGGAAGCTGGTGCTGGCGAGGGTGCGGCGCAGGGCGGGAAGGGCGCATTTGAAAATATGGTCTATCCGATGTAAAGTAACTCATGGATGCATGGATGGATTGTTTACCTTTTGAAGGTGCCGCAAGTGAAGCTGGCTTGTCTCCAAAGGTGGTGCAGGCATGCTTGCATTTCTTGACATGGTCCGAGCGATGCAAGATTAAAGCTCTGGAAACTTCCAGGTGTATGGGGACATTGGAAACTGGCTGAAGTTCTACAAGTCTGGATCCATTCCCAAGGCTTTCAAGGCCAATCAGAGAATCTGTTCACATCAGCACATCCGAAGCTCAACTGATCATGCATTGGAGGTTATCCTCAGTCTGACAAATTGGGAGGAGGCTGAACAACTGCTTTGCTGTTGCGTTTTGACAGAAGTGTAGCTGTTCCTATGTGTAGTTCTGCTGGCTTTCGGACTTGCTCTCTGCAGGTCCTAGCCCTAAGCTCACCGTTGACGTGCAGTCCTGCTGCGATGTGTCCGGCGCGAAGATGAAGCATTGCTAACGAGGCAATAGGATCTGAGACGTGCTCATGCTCCTCTTTGGTGTAGCTTAGCTTGCAGCAGTGGCCATCTTGCCGACGAGCATTGGCTGATGGCCAAGCAGATCTCGTCAAGCTTTGGCCATGCGAACCCTCTACGATGAGATCATGGAGAAGACTTCTCAAGCACAAGTTGGGCGAATATGTTTGTCACGCTGCAGTTTTACTTGAACTGGGCAGAAATGCGGACATGGTGTTGAAAGGAGGAGAAGTGGAATCTTAAGTTCTTCCTCCAGAATCGCCCGGATCTTGCAGAGAAGTTGCAGAAAGGACACATGCGCTCCATACCAGTGTTGAAACTCTAGCGGCCCCATCAAATCTTGATGTAATATGGGGCTGTGATAGCTAGTCACGTTGTCAGGATCCTCAGTGAACCCTTCCCTGGAAGAGTGCTGAGCATGCTTGCTGGTACTTTGCGCCAGCACAGGGCTTGAAATGTTAAACGCTGTCATTACAAGGTGGCAGTGGGAGTTGCTCCAGCGTGAAAGCGCTTGTCAGTTAGTTTGGCGTTTACAACTTCTGACTGCTCCTGGTACCGCATGGGCATCACCCCACCTTTGAAAGGGGTGTTTGTCCTTGGTGCTCAGAGATGTGAGGAGCCCAAAGGGCTGCATCACCACTGAGCCCTCGCGTTATGGGCCTTGAGAACATCTAAACGGAAGGGCTTGTCCGGGTTTTGCAGAGTGTATGCTGCAGTTGTTGGCTGCAAGATGGTATGGTTTCACAGCAGACCATCCAGAGCTGTAAGTTTAGCTCCTCGGAGTCCGATTCACGGGTTGCAAGTCTCTGGGCTGTTGCTTCAGTTCTTGCGCGACGCATACCTGGGGCATATGTGGTAACAGTTTGAGCGCGCATGGTTTGCGTACACCACCTTGTGTTTGAGCGCCGTAACTGATATCCCTTTGGGCTCAGTGTTGTTCAAGGCATTTGCGTAGTTTACGCTGTGCTTCCTTTGTGGCATTTTGGCCTGTTGCTATTGCAACTGTATATTTCCAAGTCATACAATTCAAAAATGTACAAGTTTTAACATAGGAGGGGCAGATTACATAAGGACACCTGGCCATTGAGCCGATGCGATGCGTCCAGCATTTCTGACGGTTGTCATCAGTTTCTGTTCCCAAGCGAGCCAGCTTGAGATTTCTGACCTGGGTCGTGGGTCTAGCATCGGAGCCTTGTATGATGCAGTAAACGCGCAATTCTTGGATGTGAGCTTGTGGCCGAACTCCAATGTTACAGCCGAAGTGATGCAGACAATCCCGGCAAACTATGCAAAACTCTCGTTTACGCACAGTGAAAAGTTTGAAGATCGAGCTAGTCTGCAGAACATTGATGCTGAAGCCACTGCAAGCATCATGGGCGGCTTTCTGTCCGTCAGCGGGTCTGTTCAGCTTTTGGAGCACAAGCGGTCACTCCGAACAACAGCAGAGGTTGTTGCTAACTACCACATTGAGACGCGTAGAACAACTATCAACATGCATGACCCACGCCTGTGTGAAAGCCAGCTACAAGTCCAAGAGTATCCCGCTCTCAAGCGAGCTACGCATGTTGTAACTGGCATCATCTATGGGGGCGACTGCTCTGCAATCTTCAGTGCTGAGTCGAAGAGTAGTTACGAGAAGTCTGTGAACGTTCAGAAGATTGAAGGGAAGATCGACTTCTTCTTCGGCAGCTACACAGAGACATTGGCTGATAAGGAGGATTCCTCGGAGTCATCCACATTCTCCAGCAACATTAGAGTCGAACTCTTTGGTGACATTCTGCCAGATGGTAATCTTCCCACAAACCTTGCATCTGCGCTTCAATTTATGTCCACCATGCCCAGGAAGATGATGAGTGAGGGTGACCTGCCAAAGAAAGTTTTCCTCACTCCCATCTCGGAGTTACCGTGCGGAGGTGAGCGACGACTCCAAAGTGCCAGGCTCACCTACGCAACGTTGCCTCAACGTTTTGTTAGCCTAAGTCTGGGAATGTTGGAAGATCTGGACGCTGCAGAGCAGTGCCTCAACAAGTTGGTGCTGAGGCACCACCGCGGCTTCCCATCTTTGCGGCAGAATGTCCAGTGTCAGCTGGACAATCTTAAAGACTACCGCAAGCAGTTTGGACTGCGGATGCAGGTGGCAATGCAAGACTTCCGCAGCAATGGGGATGAGCAGGTGCTGGACCACCTGGTGCAGAGCTTTTACGACTCCGGATACAGTTTGCCAGACACAGAGAGCATATGCAGTCGCTTGGAGACACTGTTCTCCACCGCAGATGACCTTGACACTTTCATGCAGGCATCCGAACTGAAGATGGCAAGTCACATGTCGGATTTTATCAGCGGGTCTTGGGACCCTCAGGTAGAGTTCTCCTATATGCTCATTTTTGTCGGTGAGCCTTCTATATCAGAGAATCGGGATGGTTTGAATGTGCTCCAGCAGTTTGCCAAACTTGCAGGGCAGAACAAATCCGCACAGAATGCTGCAGCCATACGTTCTTCTTGTGGTGCTAGTGGTGACATCTGCGACCAAATGAGCTTCACAGCCATCCAGTTCAACAGCTTTTGCTTGCAATTCTGTCGGGCAGAGCAGTGCCGCAACTGGTGTGTAGGCTGTGAGGAGCTTGCGACTTTCAATTCGTCAGTTAACGAATCTTTCAGACAGCTTTTTGATAAGCAGGCATCGTGGTGCGAGGCGCCCCAAACCAGCATTCTACTGTCTAGGAGGAACATGCTGCCGAAGCTGATCCCGGTTCAGCAGATTCAAACACCCAAAGCTGTCGAGGTCACTGCAGTGCAGGTGAGTGGATCTGAGGTTGACGTGTTTCTCAACGAGTCCAGCTGTGATCCTGTTGTTATACGGCACATCCTTCGACTTTCCTGGGAGGTATCAGCCTTGACAGAGGGTGGGACAGCCCGTGTCGTCCAACAAGAGGACTACGAAATCTACCCACCAGAGGATGCAGTGCAAGTTCGACTAGATGTTGGGAGGGTGCCTTCCTTCCAACTAGCGGCTGTAAGTCAGGCAGGCGTTGGGCCATTCTCGAGTAAGCGCAAGCCGCTTCCAGTTGTCCCAGCCTCTGTTGGGAGGAGGTTGGAGCCGTGGTCAGGCATGTTTGGTCTTCCTGTGCCGGTGGTGGGTCGTCTGGGCAGCCGTGAAGCCGTGCTGTCCATGCTGCAGAGTCAGCAGAACCGTGCACCCAGCTGGCGTTATCTGCCAGTAACAATCGTTTTGTCCAGTGAAGCCAAATACGAAATCTCGGAGGTAAGATTTTCTGATTCGGATGGAGTGCACGAGAACTTCACGTGTGTTGGATTTGCTCGCTCTTTCGACTTGATACACTGTAACATACCTGTACATGCCACATCAGAGGATATTCTTTGGACATTTGAAACAATCGGAGCGGGAAGACGAGTTGCCGAGCGTGGTGTACTCCTTCAGGAGGCACCCAGTATTGCAGCCTGCCGTGAATGGGACCAGGCTGCCTATTGTAATTCAATAAGGCCGGCCTGCGTACGGAGCTGTGAAGAATGTAAGGCACGGCCGCATACCGTAGTGCCTCCCAATTGCAGTGCCGGTGAGTACTGGGCATATGCCACGATCAACAGCAGTCAGCCTGACCCTGACCCTGGTGCAACATGCCCCAATGAACCTGAACCGTACTGGGGAGCGCAGCTCGGCCATCTTCGCCGGATCAGGGCTATTCAGATTCCTGAGGCCAGCCTTTCTCTCAACGTGCGCTTGTACAGGAACTCTGGCGAGTCATCCAGCTGTCAAGCAGCATCGCCCCCTGCTCTGGTCAGATGCTCTCGCGAGGTGTTTCACCTCGAGCTCAGCCCGATTCAGCAACTGCGGTCCGGCCTCAACAGCTCCACTTTATTGCTGGCTGCGGAGCTCTTGCTGTTGGTGACAGATCCTGCAGCCCTGTTAGCAGATCCGTTGTATTTGTCTCGAGCTTAGTTGCTACACCAAGTCAACTGCCATTTGAGTTGGCAGATGCTTCAGCTTCAGACAGACAAGACGATTTATGATTCCGTGATCACTTCAGCATTTCTCATGCAGTTGTTGCAGCTTCAAATGTGGTATTCACTTGCAGTGTTTTGCGGTACTAAGGCAAGCGAGCAAGCTGGGCTTGGTCAACGGGTCAGGCCATCCTGATGTAATCGTAGATGCTGCCATGGAGGCAGTGTGGGTCAGCATGAACGCAAACATCAGGATGTTCTTCTCGATCAGTTGCATGGTCAGTGCAGCATGCTTTCCTGCACGAAGGGAACTTCAAGCAATGCTCGCAGACCTGGCAAATACGGGAAAGTTGCTCGACAACCTGTTATGGTCGCTGCAGGAGTCTGGGTATCCGGTGATCAGTACTGGGCATCTCAAAGTTCAGAGCATGGATGATGATGTGACGGTGACAACTACACAAACAATTACAGAGATGGCAACACCAACAACCACTTCAAGGCATGAAGTAACTCAGAGCACCAGTGCCAGCGCAAGTTCCAGTACTACCCAACCGATGACTCTTACAAGTACCACAGCCGGCTCAGGGCTTTTTGCAAAGACCGTGCTTCTTGAGGTAGAGCTGACCCTTTCCAATGTCTCGACATTTTCCATTGCAGCCTTCCTCAGGGATGTGGCTGAAGCAGTTGGCGTCAAGGCCGACCAGGTGTTACTGACAAGCATCAGCTATGAGACCTCGGTGGTTCTAAGCCTCGACAGCCTCGTGACGCAGGAGCAGGTGCGGCATGCTGTGGCCATCGCTCTAAGTCGGCCTCCTGAAAATGTAAGCGTATCCATCAACCCTGGGCGGCGTCGTCTGGCCAGCATGCACGGACGTGTGTTGGCTGCTGTCACAGCACAGGCCACAGTCAAAACGGGAAGCATTGAATCCGCCACAGATGTCAGCAAGACGCTGGCGGATGCCACTGCTGTTGGGGAAGCCTTGGTGGAGCAGGGCGTCAATGTCTCCGTCGTGGTATCGATGCTGCCACTGACAAAGGTAAGAGTTGTGCAAAGGATTACGTTTGTCGGTGGGCTGGTTCCAGATACAAGTCTGATGGAGGCCGCAATCGCTGAGAAGTCAGGGCTCAGCGTGTCTGTCTTGGGCGTGTCTGTAGAAGAATCGGACTTCGTTGACGGAGGTAGTGCTAGGATATTTGATATTGTGGTCACATGTCTACTGGCATTTGCTGCTCTTGTCTTCGTCCTTTTTCTAACGGGTCTGTGCATGAAATGCCGCCATCAACTTCAACGACCACGGACCTTTTCGCTGGACGCGGTTGAAGTGGCACAAGACAGCATTGAAGTTCGCGATTTAAGGGTTACAGCTGATCCGCTTGCCCATCCGCAGCCTAGCTAAGTGGTGCAGCTATCTGCCGCGTTTCAATCATCGCTAAGGAAATGCTTTTCATTTACCTTCTGTGCCGATCACTGTGGCAAACCCTGCCTCACCTGGTTCGCGAAATATGACCAAACCCAGCGCCGCAAAAGCAAAAACAATTGCACAACTGTTCATCTTGGAGAGCGCGCAAGCCCAAGCTTGACTTTGAAGGCATAGCTATGGCTGTTCTCGCAGCCCCAGTTGGTGCTCAAACTCTGCAGTAGGCGGCAGCTGCGCCACTTGCCATGATTTCGTCATTGGGTGTCGTGTGGCTGGCATGCGCCTGCTCGATCACGCCCTGTACGGCTGAGAACGACCTCACTGATGAAGCAATCAACACCGAGGATTTGGGTAGGCGCTTCTTCCTCGGTGAGCTTTACGATGTGAATGCCGATGAGCCAATTGGAGGCTCCCTGTGGCCGTTGTCAGCCCTGGAGGATACCCGCTTTGTGCGGGAGGTCTCCGCAAAAAGCGCCGAGTATACCATGTCGTATGCAGACAGCATCAAGGACAATCAGTTGCGAGTTCCCGGAACATCTAAAGTTGTAGAGTTGTAGTCTTTCAAGTTTGCCTTTCAGAGGACAAGATGCAGCTCATGGGCATTGATGGAAGGGTGAGCTTCGAGCGCTCTGTTGGCATCAGTTCTATGAAGCTTTCCGGCTCAGCGATGTATTTGAATGCGAAGGCTGCATTGGAAGCATAATATAGTGACATAGTGAGCGGTATTGCAGTAGAAGTTGTTTGATTCTTCTGATTGTTGAACTACACCCAGCGCCAAACCTTGGAGGCTGAAAGCAACCTGGAGGCAGCTGGCTCAGCTGCCAGAATGATTATAATCTCTGACCAGGGTAGCTAGCGTGTCTGCACCCTCTCAGCAACGAAATTCTGCAGCAGGTGAGAAGCACTGTGCGCATGAAAGTCACGACGGTACGAAAGACGCTAAATGCTCTTGACCCGGGCTTGCAAAGTCTTCGGTTCGACCCCATCCCTTCACAAGCGACGCATTTTGTGATCGTGGATTGCAAGCAGCCTTACTTTGTGCGTGGTTCCCTCTCCCCCCTCTTCTCTTCGCGCAATTACATGAAGCCCAAGGTGAGTTCTATCAAGTATGGGGCGGCTTGCTCGGCAACGTTTACACAGCTGGCCAGCAGTGAGCAGGAGAAGGAGGTCATTCAAGGCCACCTGAATGGAGAGCTGAAGACGGCCTTAATACAGGTTGAGGCAGGAGTCAACCTTGACATGCAGGACACCGCCCAAAAATGAGAAGGGAAGGGGACCTGTCGCAGCACGTTGCTTAATGCTGTGTTTGGGTGCGGTGTAGTTCTTCTGCTAGGAGAAGGAAATCTTCGCCTCGAGGAGCACCACTGTGGAGGTCTTCGGTGACTTGATTCCTGGCATCTCATCAAGTTCCGAGCAGGGAACCCGACGGCTGAGGGCGATTCCCTTTGGACAGAGCACAGGCTATTCGCAAGAGACATGCTGGGACAGTCCCAAGTGGGAAGACGGTATGACCGGTAAGAAATGCTCGGACTACAAGACATCTTACTGCGACACTACCACCAATAGCTACAAGCCTCATCGCCATCCGCATGCGTTTCAGTCAAAAGATGCGAATTTCCCCGATTTGCATTGCTGCGGCTGCGGCAGATGCAGCGATACCAAACACTGGACAGATCCTTGCTCGCAACCAAGCAAACCTGTCCCTAGTGTGCTACTGCATGTCATTCATTGTGTCATTGCTGGCAGGATTGGAACATGACTAAACCTTAACCTCCTGGACACTTCAAGTTCATGAATATGTGACATTTCGTGCTTGCGTAGGACACAAGTGGTCGCGATTGCAACTTCTACCGCTTGACTTCCTGTCCAAATGGCATTTACAATGGCACTGACGCTGCGGCAAGGGTCAACCACCCGGAGCGCAACTGCTGTGGTTGCGGCAAGTGTGAGGACACAGTAGACTGGAAGGACAGCGCATGCAAGCTCTAGCATTGCCTTGCACAGTATCACGTGTAGTTCTGCGAAACGGCTTCGGTCTCAGACGTAAGCAGAGCTTGAGGGAAGCGCACTGAACTGCAGGATGCTGATGGCCATGGTTGCGACTGGTATGCAGCCCGGGGTCTTTGCAACCACGGTGTTTACGTATACCACACGAACGAATCGATGGTAGAGTCGGCCAACTTCCCGGACATGCACTGCTGCGTTTGTGGCAAAGCAAGATACTACCGGCATGCCGTAGACTTGATGACTGCCGTCAAGGAGTCTGATGTCCGCTCGGCCGGAGAGGCTCAGGGCAGACGCCTTTCAGGTGGTTCCATTCCGAAGCCGTCTGCTGTGCCGACTGACCCACGTAGTGCACTGGACTACCTCTCCAAGATACATGTGGCAGCTCTGGAAGACAATGGAGTCCCCATGGAGATCACCCTGACACCTGTAAAATGGCTTGTCAGCGAGCGCCTCAGTGGACTGAAAGTGTTGCCCTGGCTGCTTCAGGGGCCTGTTGCTTGAGGTTTCCCACTCCACAATGAATCGTATCAGTGTAGTGAAGCTGTGCGCTGCTTAATGTAGTCCGAGCTCCACCTTCATAGTGCGCACAGTTCAGGGGCCAGGCACATCAGAACATCCAGGTTGAACGACCATTCAGCAAGGCGACATCAGAAATATGTTGCAGAGTCGGGAATTACAATCAAGATGCAGACGTCATCTTACTTACAGATGGTAGTCGCTAACGGGAGCCTTCTTGTTGTGTCCAGTCACTCCGTATCACTGCGTACTGGAGGTGGTCACGATGTTGTCGCGAAGAAGCTGACGGCGGATCTGATTAACCAAGCCATCGACATCGCAGAAGACTTTGATGAAGGCATCCGCATCATCAATGATCTTGCGGCTTCCTGGTTGCAATAGCACCAGACATTCAAGAGAAATGAGTTCCGTCACCTATGACATGATGCAGTAGTTGTTGAAGTTGGGGTTGCTGCCAAGGCCAGAGACAATCTTGGATTCCAATCCTGGACTTGGGGAGTGGAGTTGTTCAATCGGAGACAGAAGGAATATCAGCGTGAGTACAGGGCAACCCTCGCAAGGGCCCTCTTCGAGTACAAGACTCTTAGCAAGCTGGTTGAAGTGGAAAGTGTTCTCCAAAACCATTCGTCCAGCAGCTTCACCCTGGACCTCATTCGCAAGTATCGTGAAGAGCAATCAGATGCCTTGCAATCTCTCGCCAGCATGGTTGCTCCTTTGCGGGATGAGGGCGGCGCAACGCTTGCAGCTCAGTTCTCTGATTACATCGGACCGACGCTCTCAGTGAACTACGATGCTGTAGTTGCCTTAATAATTGCTGGTATGAGTCCAGCTTCCAGCCGCGCAACCATGCACAGCGTCCGGCGCTTCCTTGCCTTTGCAAAGAAGACAGGACCAGTACCGCATTGCTTGAGAGCAGTCAGCCTTGGCAGTGGTACAAGTGGAGCGCCAAGCTGTGTAGAGACTTATAAGCTTGTCGTCATCCATTTCGATTCTTTCTGTTCGCAATTCTGCGAAAAGCAGTACTGTACACCAGGGCCTCGTACCTGTTCGAGTGCGACGCCAGAAGCAAGCTTCTTGAACAAAGACGCTTGGTGTCAGAACCCCTGCACGCAAGTAATTGCCCACTACCAGCAAGGCCCTGCGGCAAGTGCTGAGAGACTCCTTCCCAACATTCCAGAAGCTCCAAAGATCCTGAACATTACTGTGGGTGATCAGGAGCTGGACCCAAGCAATCAGCGCGTTGATGTGCAAGTAGGGGCGGTTGGGGCCGGAGTGGTGTCTTTGCGTGTCCGCATCATTCACCACGAGTTTGACAAGGCCTCCAACACATGGACTACCTACCACCGGCTCTTCGACACGCACACACCTGATGAGTATATAATCATCGGCCAACTGATTGCTGGCAGATATTACACCTTCCAAGTGTCAGCAGTCAATGAGGTGGGATATGGCCCATTCAGTGAGGCCTACCCTCACGAGGCTTCAGGTCTTCTTGTTGGACGTCGGGTAGTCACCATCACGCCGCTCTATCCAGTGCATCACCAGACAGCGACCAGCTCTTTGGACTCCTGCAGCGCCGAGCCAGTAAATGCTGACCTGACCAACCGCGCACCAAACTGGATGCCCTGGGAAGTGCAGCTAACAATCAGCGAACTGCCCAGAAACCAAGAGCTGGCAGCCAGCGTGGAGTTTGCCGATGTTAATGGAAGTTCATTCACTTGCTTGAACTTCAAGCTCGACTCAGCTGATGCCAGAAAGGCCAGCTGCCGCATTCCTTGCCAAGAGTCAACGCTTTCGTCCAGCTTGGCAGTGACAGTGTGGGATTCCAATCATATCACCAAGGTTGCACAGGGCACTCTTAAATTTGAAGCAGAGTCGGAATCTGCATGCGCGGCCTTCAACCCAAACATGCCCCTCTTCTGCAACGTTGATGATGCCCGCAACAGGCGCTGCATGCCCGCTGCAAGCGCCAATGCCTCGGCGTGTGATGCATGCTCTGATGCAGCAACTCCCAAGACCTACCGTGTCTCCAGTCGGCTGTGCACCGGCTTTCAATGCCAAGCCAATGAGCGATGGTGCCCGATCGCCACCAAAGGATGCCTGACTTCGTGTGATGACTGCTACAGTGAGAGCTCGGAGCAGCAGGTGAGCGGAGGCTTTATCTGCACGTTGCCATGCGAGGTTAATGTGGATCTGCCAAATCTTGTGCAAAGTGGCACGCTCGTGGTGGTCCCCAGTGGCGGCACTGTGCAGTTTTCCTGCGCCGCAGGCTTGGTGCCTGCTGCTGGTGCAGACGCCGGAAGTTCGGAAGCAAATGGCTTCCATTGCCCTGCTGACAACACTCAGCTTGCCTACAAGATCAGCGAGCTGCCGTCACGCTTTGTCTGTGAGGCAGCGTTTTTTCAAGATTTTATTGCTTCCTATCATGGTAGGCCTTCGGTTGTTTTGGTTTCATGATGTGCGACAGGTTGATTTTGAACAAGCAGCCGTATATCCAATTACCCTCCCAGAGTACATGGCGGCGGGAAACCTTCCTGGTGTCAGCAATCACGGTGTGCGAGCTAGCTTCAGCAATGCCGCGAAGACACACGTATTCCTGGTGTGCCGATGGTGGGATCAGCGTACCTCCACTCCTAGTGCCACTCCCGTTGCAAAAGTCTCCTTGGGGGCCAGCTTCGGGGCCACCGTGGAGCGCATGGATTTCAGCGGCGTTGGGTTCCTGAACGAGGCCTTCACCCACGGCAACTATGCTTATTTGATTCCTCAGACTGGTGGCATCATGATCCGAACGAGCCGCAGTGGGCAAAGTTCCTATACGCCCATGGATTTGTTGTCGTCACACGGCCTGCAATATCTAAAGGGCCCCTTCACGGACGGTGTCTATGGTTACATGGGGGCAAGCGCAACTGCAGATCCGGCTCGACTGGTGATTTTCAATCTTGATCCTCTCCAGTACGTGGACCAGTTGTCAATCTTTGAAGGTAGTCCGATGGGTGGGTTTTCGTATCAACAGTACATCTACACATGCATCTGGGGGGCATCAGGGGCGAATGGGGCGCTCATGCGTTTCCAGCAAGCCAATCCGACTTCAACTTTGGAAAAAGTAGCCGACCTTCCATGGGAACCAGTTGCTGGTTGTGCAGTTTGGGAAGACATCGCAGTTGTTTATGCCACATATGCATTTGTCACAGTCGATCTTGTCAGCGGGCAACTGCAGGACTACGGGTACGACTGGGGTGGTGGCGTTGTACAAGGTGGTCACGTCATTGTCGGTAAGTACGTCTTCTTAATTCAAGACAGAGCTGTGGTACGTTTCAGCCCGAGCACACAGTCGATCGCGAAGCTGTCTATGTCTTCCCACGTGCAATCTTCGGAACCCCTCGTGGGAGGCTTCACGGACGATGTGTACTTGTACGTATACAATTATGCTGCTACAGCCAAAGTGTTCAGGATAACATTGTGAGCGTGTCCGCTCCAGTTCTGCCTGCGTACCTGAGTTCTTGGGCTTGGGCTCAAGAGCGAGGTGTACTTGGCATCTTTGCTAGGAACCCGCCGTCAGCCTGGAGCAGTGGACTTACACATTGCAAAACTTGATAGACTGGTAGAAGGAGGCAGGCGGGTAGCTGGCAGTGAGAGCTGGTCTTGCAACAGATCGTTGTTCCATGTGCCCATAGGCAGGATCAGTTCGCTCAATTACATTGTACTAGACAGCGCCAGGATCGGCCGGATAAATGAAGGGCGACTCATCCACTGTTTCTGATGTTTTGTCGAGTTATTTGAGTAGCCGGACAATGCAAAACTAAGGGCCTTCAGTTGGGTCAGGCAGGCATGACCATTTGACACCTGAAGCCTGCTGCATGACGCTGCGCCAACTGCATGAGCATGGCCAGCTAGTTTCCAGCTCTCATTTGACTCCACATTTTTTCAGAGCCTAATATGAAACCTCAAGCCCCAAACATCCGTGCACGATGCTTTCCATGTGGAGTGTGTACGGCTACAAAGTTGACAATGCATAAGCACAGTTTTCAGGCAGCATTGACATTGAAGACATTGGTGTACACGTGTGAAGGAACATGGGAGCGATCAGCATGTTGTCAGAAAATCAAGCCTGGCAGCGTGTTCGTAGACATTTGCTTAGCGATGCCGAAGCAGATGCGGTCGAAGGTGCTAGCATATTCTGGTTTGTCGATGGTTGAAACCAATGCAAGTTATCTGACATGAGGATACTTGTGGAGAGGATGACTGTGGAAACTTTGCATGATGGTAGTATGGGCGCTTCCGCAATGTTGCGTCGAGGCATCAAAAAATTTGCGGCACAATCCACTGGCCCATGACATTTTGGAGGACTTAGGAGGTGTAACGTTCTTGTGGCACGCGCCCGTCATGGCCGTTCTTGCTCGTTTGATTTGCAGGAGGAAGCAAACAGAGGGATTCGCAGAGTCCCGCCTGAGGCTTACATTAGCTGCGTGGACACTTGTGGGTGTTTGGTGCGCTACTCTGCAAATTACTTTAACCGTACTTCTGTTCATGGTTGATTTGCCTCATTTGGCTTGAAGCATGTCATTTGTACTGTTGAGGCGGAACAAGCTGCGAAGAGCTGATGACAATGAAGAGGACTGTTTCAAAGCGCGCAAGATAAGAAGAGGGAGCATTTAGCTAAAGACTCGTGCAAGTCATACAGGCTCGTGTGAATGTCAGGATGACAGTGCGGTCGTACCGTCCAATGTTGCCAAAAAGGTAATTGGGATGGCCAGAGTCTTTGATCTTGCGTGGACTCGCGGAAACCCTTTTTGCGGTTTCTGTGCCTTCCGTGTTCTTCAAAGGTGCAAGCTCAAAAGGCAGACGAAGAAGAAGATCAGTTCGGTGACATCCCCGATGATGTTGAAAGACATAGTGCCGGCGAGGCTGACATGGAGGCCTGGCACCTAGTTGGAACATTTCATTACGCTGCCGGATCCGTGCGCAGTTGCCTACAGGAAAACGTGGAGGAAATTGATGTGGAAGTGGATGAGGCAATTTCAAAAAGCTGGCATGTCATGGGCGGCCTTGTCACAGCTGTTGTCCAGGATGGCTACATTGTGGCACCAAATGCCTCAGATGAAGATGAGAGAGTCAGATTGCTTAGTTGTCCACTTACACATCTCCATTTCTCCACGGAGTGTGTGTCCCCGTGCCCTGAGGCCATGTCTTTATTTCTGCCAGGTAAGAGTGCCCCACAGGCTGGGAGATTTTCATTTCGTTGGGAAGAATACCTTTGTCACCCTATCCAGGCATCGGGACCCACACTGGCGGATATCATCCTTCAGAAGATCCAGGCTGATGAAGTGGCACATTAGGTAGTTCTGTAGTGATCACATGCCACCTCTTCAAACTGAAGAGTGCTTGGAAAAATGGGGACGCCTTTTCAACGCCCACAGGGGATTTTCTTGAACACGTCACTGCACGCCAAGTGTTGAGCGGCCCTGATCACTGAACATCATGAGACTAAATTCCGAGAACAGCTCATGTTCTGCAAGGAGGCTGAAGCACGCAAGGAAGCTGGTGCTGGTGAGGGTGCGGCGCAGGGCGGGAAGGGCGCATTTGAAAATATAGTCTAGCCGATGTACTTCGAGATGATAGTCAGGGCTTGAAAGGCACACGGAAAGTGACGCATGGATGCATGGATGGATTGTTTACCTCTTGAAGGTGCCGCAAGTGAAGCGGGCTTGTCTCCAAAAGTGGTGCAGGTATCCTTGCATTTCTTGACATTGTCCGAGCGATGCAAGATTGAAGCTCTGGAAACTTCCAGGTGTATGGGGACATTGGGAACTGGCTGAAGTTCTACAAGTCTGGATCCATTCCCAAGGCCTTCAAGGCCGATCAGAGAATCTGTTCACCTCAGCACATCTCAAGCTCAACTGATCATGCATTGCAGGTTATCCCCAATCTGACAAATTGGGAGGAGGCTGAACAACTGCTTTGCTGTTGAGTTTTGACAGAAGTAGAGCTGTTCCTATGTGTAGTTCTGCTCTGCAGGTCCTAGCCCTAACCTCACCGTTGACGTGGAGTCCTGCTGCGATGTATCAGGCGCGACGATGAAGCATTGCTAACGAGGCAGCCGGATCTGAGACGTGCTCATGCTCACTTTGGTGTAGCTTGGCTTGCAGCAGTAGCGATCTTGCCGACGAGCATTAGCTGATAGTCAAGCAGATCTCGTCAAGCTTTGGCCATGCGAACCATCTACGATGAGATCATGGAGAAGGCTTCAAGCACAAGTTGGGCGATAGTTTTGTCACACTGCACTTTTACTTGCACTTGGCAGACATGCTGACATGGTGTTGAAAGGAGGAGAAATGGAATCTTAAGTTCTTCCTCCAGAATCGCCCGGATCTTGCAGAGAAGTTGCAGAAAGGACCCATGCGCACCACGCCAGTGTTGAAACTCTAGCGACCCCATCAAAATCTTGATGTAATGGTGGGGCTGTGATAGCTATGTTGTCAGGATCCTCAAGCTCCACTTCAATGCAGGCCGTGTTTGCAAGCAGTTTGGTTCGATCAGAGTCCAGGCCATCTATCTGTGAGGCATCGAGATCACTGCCACAACTCCCGAAAATGCAGATCATTGGCGGCAAGCCTGCAGCTTCGCCGCATGAGGATGATCCTCCATATCCTCCAAGAGACTACACTTTGGTTGCGCCATGCAAATAGAGCAATAGCACATTAGAAGCCATGGAAGCCTGTGGCAAGGTGCCGTCAATACTGAACCGGCAAATTTCACATCGTCGGCATGATTGGGGCAGGCTGCGTGCCATAGTGGCTGCTGAATTATGTCTTTGAAGCCATCACCTGTTTTTGAAATCACGTGCAGGCTCTATGCTGACGCACCTGGTTGGAAGCAGTGATGCCTTCCCTGGAAGAGTGCTAAGCGTGCTTGCTGGCACTTTGCTCCAACACCGGGCTTGAAATGTCATACGCTGTCATTACAAAATGGCAGTGGCAGTTGCTCTAGCGTGAAAGCGCTTGTCAGTCAGTTTGGCGTTTTGCAACTTCTGACTGCTCCTGGTACCGCATGGGCATCACCCCACCTTTGAAAGGGGTGTTTGTCCTTGGTGCTCAGAGATGTGAGGAGCCCAAAGGGCTGCATCACCACTGAGCCGTCGAATTATGGGCCTTGAGAACATCTACACGGAAGCACTTGTCCGGGTTTCGCAGAGCTGTCAAATTGAAGCCCGGCCCTCTGCAGGCCTCGACGATCTTCGTTTCCAACCTGAACCCTCGCTCCTCGTTTGCACAGGATACATTGTCACGTGTGATTCGTTTCCAAAGCTTGTTTTTTGTGTTTCAGGGATGGCTCAGCGCTTCTTCAACTTGGTACAGTGCTTACTACGTTGGCTCGGGCCGCAACTATTTCTGAACGCTCCCTGCTAACGGTAGGTCCTCTTGCCGGCAGTTCGACAGGATATCGCCGAGTTTGGAACTTGGCTTGCTGTCTTGTTTCGCCTTTCGTCTTGGATTCTAGGAGCTTGTGTATGCGAGGCACAAGAAGCTGAACTTCCACTACTACAGGCTGTGGCCAGCACGAGAAGCCGTGCACTGTTTTGCGGTGTCGATTGGCTGCCAGGGCCCTTCGGAAATCACTTTTCAAACCCGCAGCTTTCTTCAAGGCCAGGTGGGCGGTGGGGATTGGGCTTGTGAAGCGGAGGTAATGCGCGACAGTAGCGAAACCAACCAAATTTCACATTGGGGCTTAGATGCTTGGATGAAAGCCGAGAACCTCATTTTGAGCTTCGCAGGGCATCCTGCTGCCTATGGCCGCAGAAAATTGCACCTTACGAGAGGCTGCTCCAATAGAGTTGTTCTACCTTCCAAGTATTTTCCCCACTTTTCTTTTGCCTACCTGTTCTTTCAGGCAGTCATTATGGGCTCTGTTTTGGCCAAAGCATCGGTACCTGTCATGCACGTGAAGTGCTCAGCTAGTCTTTTGTTCGATTTGGCCGTCGCTGTGCAAATGAGATTCGAGGTTGCAGCAAGTGTTGTTCGCCTCTGTGCACCTCATCCTGCATTGGTGTGATGACGGTGGTGCTAGGGGAGCATTTGCAGAACTGCAGCTAAGACTATGACGCCTTGGTACGGAACCACCGCAATCATTCTGGCTGCGTTGCTCAACAAGAAGTGCCTGGGCTGGTTAGCAAACTCCACGTGACCTTTTCCTGTTTTCTAAGCACGAACAGAAATATTCCTCATCGCTTGTGGCTTGTATCATCTTCTCAACATGTCACTGTAGTTCCATTTTTATGACGAGCTTGCTGGCAGTCGTTGATTCTTCAGGTTCCCTCTTAGTATGCCACCTTGATGAGCAGACAGGATTCTGCCTCCGAGTAACAGCTTCCCGAGGGCCAGCTCAAGCTCAGGTATGCATTGCCGCTGAAGGTGATTGAGTGCCTGGTGGCTCATTTCTGTTCCTTTGCTGGCGAAGACAAAGTTCTGCCTCTGGCCGCATCCTCAGCGAATTCATCTTGCTTGTCTCCTCAGAGTTTGTGGCTTGCTTGGTTTTAGGAAGCTTAGGTGTGGCATCGTGCGCTGCTCATTTTCGTGCAGATGCTTTGATGCATTTTTGAGAGGCTTCCATGTACCCGAGGGACTGTGCAGGTATTTTGACTGGACTGCTGATGGCGGAGCTAAGGAGATACAAGTTTGAGCTCTCTGCTGATCAGAAGAGACGACTCAAGGAGCTTTGTAGCTGTTGCATGCCGTTTCCATCATGTATAAACGTCTTAAAGCCATCAAGGAGCTGCTTCGAGTGCACTATCATGAGTCTGCGGCCACCTCAGCGGACAATGTCAGCATGGCCGTGTTGAAGTTTGAGGAGTGCCAGCTGTGAGGTCGGCCCGGAGATTCGCAGAGAATTGGCGGCCAAGCAAGAGGTGCCGGTCAGCACATATTCTTCGAATAAGAGTTATGTGCTTGAGGAAGGGGGAAGTAGCATGCATCATGAGTACATGGCATCTGAAGTGTGATGCAATGGCTCTTGTAAAGATGCGTGAGGTGTAATGTGGCTCCCCCCCCACAGAAAAATGCAATTAAGGTCCTTCAATCAGGGCCCTTAGCCTCCCACGGTTCTGAGGTCCCTGTGGATTGATGTAACAGGGAGAGTTGTGAATCCTTTCTAGGGCCCCAACATGAAAACACATTATAGAGGACCTCACAATCATTACCCCTGATCCTCAATAAGCGACATAATAGGGGACCTCAGCATAATGGAGGGGACACCAAATCAAGCAGACCAATTGAGAGTACGCCTGACCAAGACGCGAACATAGGCACCTTGGAAGTTGAGCCTTTGTGATGGTCCAGTTGCAAAGTTTCTTGGCAAGGCACATCGTGAGCCCTTCAGAGTGGTTAGGTCTGCCACATCCGCTGCATGCCAATGGCCAGGACACGAGCGCGCCCGCTGACATGGATATCGGCTGAAGGTACCATTAAGCTTCTGCTGCAGCTCAGCCTTTGGGGTAGCCCAACAGATAAGACTGTCATGCCACTTTGAGCTGCTAAGCACTCACAGTGGCTAGCAGCGCGAGGGAGCTCCGAATCTGCTGGCTCGCACAGACAAAATCACACATGCAGACTGATTCCAGGTCAGACATATTGATATGCTTTGCTCAAAGTACAGGTGCCGATCTGCAAATGTCCCGTGAAGCTTTAGTTTTTTGGCCTGATAGCTCAAATGGCACATTGGGCAGGGCATGGATGTGGCGGCCTAAGTCAGCATGCCTGCATACATTCATCCAACTCTGCCAAGAGATCGGTGAATTGTGATAAGAATTCAGGACTTGGAACGAGCTATCAGAGTGATCTTTACACAGGATCCGCTCAAAGCTTAGCACCCTCACAGCTTTGTCACGGTTCGAAGGCAGCTCTCATGCCTCAAGGTCTGTCACTCCTGTGGCAGGAGCCCTACTCTGACACAGGGGGGGGTATGGCATATGGCAACATGCCCATAGGTCCGAGAGGAGGCCACCAGATACTGTGAAGGCGTCAAGGCAGCGAGATCTTCATCAGTTTGTTTGGGGCGTGTAGTTCGCTGCGAGAAATGCTTTGCAGGCTCGACCAGACTGTCTTCAGCTAAGTCGTTCTGTCCGGTTTCTGTGCAACACGAATAACGCAGCCTCGGTGTAGCGAGGTTCGACTAGCACTAGCATCCAAGTTACTTATATTGGCAGCCTGCAAATTCCCAAAGAGATTCTGGGCCGCAGCTTGACGGGTACGTGTTCATTGGTGAGAAGTAGCATGGGCAGTTGAAAACCCTTATGGTGGATGCATGAGGCTTAGCTGCAGGGCTTGGCTAGGGTTTCTTATGATTCCTGGGCAAGGGCCTGAGGGCCTTGGTGCCTGGAAGTCAGGGCTCTTGGTCTCCCGATGTCCTGAAGCCCATCTCTGCATATCTCTGCCGAATTTGTTTGCTTCAGAGAGGCGAAGCCCCTGCCTAAGGCTGGATCCTGTGCTGGGAGAGATTTACGCAGACCGAGGTCTTGGAGGCAAATGCCCTTTCTTTGTTCTCGATTGGTACGTCTCCGATGTTCTGCTGTTGTTGTACAGGTAAAGTTTTGGTGCCTTCAGGCTGGAAGCCAAGTTCATCATGCTCTGAATGCTTGGCCGACTCTGTAAGTGCGTGAGGTCGTTCTGCAGGTGCTATCGCCGACACCCTGAATTACACAGACCCATGATGCAGATCTCTGCCCACTGTTTCAGATTTCAGGTCTCTTGCGCCAGCAGCAAGAGCAGATCTTCGAGGTAAAGTGTTGCCCGGCTTTAAAACAAGCAGGCTGAGCAACCAGCATATTCTCTGCTTGGCTGAGGCTTTCTTGGCTGAGAGATGTCGCTGCAAAAAAGCAGGAGGAAATGGGCCTTGAATGAGTGAAGAAAGTTGGTGCAAGGTTGTTCTTGATTCAAACGCCGTCTTGCCAGGAGGTTGTGGTCAAGAACAAAGTTGCACTTGTGTATGTGGAGCCCTTGGTGGATGGATGGCCCAAGTCTTCGAGTAATCCTCGGGATGTATCTCTCTTTTCACATTTGCCGCAGGCAGGCCTGGTGAAGTTCGACTATCCATCAAGCTGGCCGACTGCATGGCAGGACAATATAATGTCAGACTGGCCATTGTAGCGAAAGTCTTTGCTTCAGCTCGCTTGTGGCCCGAATTGCACTTTCATTTGGTAGCAGGACTTGATTGGTCTCATGGATGCTGGGCCATGCACTCAGGTGCTCTTGTTCATAGTTTGTGCATTGAGATTTGCAAATTTGTCTCGTCGCTGGAGGCTTCCACTTGTAGATTTCTTTTTGCGTGTCAGCATCTCAGAAAGAGTCTTCTTATCTCATGGAGGTATGTGCTGCTATTGGCAGTTGTAGGTGCTTGCCATCTTTGACCAAGAGGTTGTCAATGATGAAGTCCCTCGGAGTAACGAGGAAAGCATTTTTTGCCAGCCCTGAAAGTGATGGTGGACCTTACCACTGTCTTGCAGGACCGACAGCGCAGCCAAGCACTCGGTTCGACTTGATGCATCTTGACACACTTCATGCTATGTTGAATTGCCACCGAGGCCATCAAATCAAGCATGCGATGCGTGAGCGCAGCTTGGATCCGGAATTAGGCTGAGCTACTAGGGTTATCAATTGACCCGTGGACTGCGAAAGCCGCTCAGGTGATGTAGTCTCTCTGGTTGAGTGCTGGTATCGGCTGGGCGCCCGGCACCGCGGTCTTGAGATCTACGCTGCACATGGTGTCCAACAGCAACACTGCCACATGCAGCAGCATGGCGTGCGATCTTGAGTTCGACTCCGCAGGATGTCCTAAATCGCACTTGAACGGATTCAGGTTGCCACGCGCCACATTTCAATGGTCTTCAAAAAACATGCCAAGCTGTAGAAAAGTAGACTTCTTAAGCAGTTAATTTCCGCTGACACCAAGTCTTTTTTTTTCAGTGGAGCTAGGAGGCCTTGCCACAATGCAGAGTAGGAAACTCCTGTGCCTCACTGATAGATGTAGACATCTATCTTCACAGAAACAACGAATGCATCCTAGAAGAGAACGCCATGAGAACCATGTGTGCACGTAGTTGAGGATCTTGACCACTTTGAAGAGTCCGGCCTGCAGCTGAGCCACAAATGTTTGGGAACAGCACTACTAAAATCATGAGTATCTGAGCTTGCTGGAAGTAATGGGCACTTGGTTTTGGCAAGCCTTTTGGCTGAGGCGCCACAAATGGTGCGAGACTGCTTGAGCCATGACTGCACCAAGTCTGGAATCACAAAGCCGTGGACAAGCTGAGTAAGAGAGGGCCAGTTTGCAACCAGGAAGGTGACGTCCCTTTATGTGGTCTGGGCCGGATACCTATCCACCACAGCGCCTCTTGAACTTGAACTTGTATGGAATGTTTGAAGTCGAGCTGTGCAAACTCTGAGATTGAAATCTTGACTGTGGCCAACGACAAGTTTTTGAGCTGGAACCTCGTTCGCCACTAGTCCCTGACATATCGTGCACTTGTGATGAACCCAGGTGCAATTTGCAATCTGATTGCTGAAGCATCAGGCAGCTCCAGTGAGGCCAGAATGTCCGGAATTGCAGTCATCAAGTGTGCTTGCATGGCCTAGGAAGAGATGACGGAAGAAATGAGTCCTGTCAACTTGCTGAAAGGCATGCGAATGCCTTGCTGCCATTGTCAACAAGAAGATGCCGGCTAGCAAGAAGGCCTGGTTTGTGGGAACGGGAATGAAGGCCTGGTTTGTGGGAACGGGAATGAGAAATGCGGTGTTGAGTCACATGAAGCAGTCATCCAACAGCGCTTCCTCCCTGAAGCTACTTGGTTGAGCAGGTACAGATGCTCAGCGAGTTGCAAATTTTCGGGCGTCTTCTGCTTACAGCCTGCTTACTACCATTTAAGTTCTTTGATTTCATAGCTTGAGTGAAAAGTCTGACAAAGGTCTAGAAGCTTGTGTGCATCGTGATGGTTCAGACCAACAGCTCGCAGCTTTTGCTGTTTGCAGAATGCACTTGGTGGGTCCAAGGGATTCATGTCAAGGCTGCTCGTCAAGGAAGCTGAGATGATCAATATAGTTGGCGAGGCTTGCCGCACTTGTTTGTTTTTAGCCTCTTCCGAAAGGAAGGAGCTGGTCTACGCAGCATAGGTGATTTTGGAAGCCTATGTCGACCTGCGTGTCCAAAACGACGCTAACAGTGCCGCATTGGCACAGGCCTGGGTCCAATGCAGAGATGCAATGTAGTAGGGGTTGAGTTGAGCGTCACAGTCTTGGCGCAAGGTAGCATGGGAGTCCACCAACGCATTGATGCCTCTGGTGTTCTCGTTCTTTGCCCGGAAAGAGCCCTGCCCTTGGCCTGCACAGCTACAGCTTGAATATGCAGACGGCCTGCTACGGTGTCAAACAACAAAGCTGCAGGCATCAGATTGCTGTGTGCGTGGAGCCTTACTTGACTGAGTTCTTCGTAAAGGCACGGGCGCTGTCATTGTTGAAACAAGAAAAAGTATCGTGGAGACACTGCTCTTGGAGGTCAAAAGCTTTGTGTCCGGTGGGCAAAAGGGCGACATGGAGATGGCCCCCTGTCACTCCGTGTCACTGGAGCAGGTGCAGGGTGTTTTGGAAGGCTGCACATTTTTTGCAATTGCTGACTCCTTGCCTTTACGGTGGAGATGAGAGGGTTATGCCTTGCCTTGCAGGTCAGGCCCATCTTGATGCAAACTCTGCAGTGGCACCGGCATGTGGAGGGAACATACCCGCCTGGCAAATGGCTAGCTCGTTGCAGCAAGGCTGATTATTCAACGGACTGCATATCCTTCCTGGTTGGCGGCCAAGTCGTGAAAGCCAGCGTGGCATGACATTAAGGCATAGAAGAGTTGTTGGACCTCAGGCTGTATCCATGTGTTGCCTGTTTGCTTGTCTGTGGTGTGATGAGGTTTCAGCACAATGACCCTAGCTTTGAGGATGACGAGCCTGCAACTTAGCAGTTTGTGTGTTCATGCGCGAAAGGATTTCGTTTTTGTGCTTGAAAGAGCGTCAGGCAACATGTCGCTTTCATAGAGTTTCGCAAAAGTTTGACAAAGATCTACAAGCCTGCACCTGAGCCGACACCGACGCCGGTCTCAGCATGTTTCGGCAGTTGCCCAAAGCCGGATCTACACAAGGCGCATATTCTTAGTGGATGAGCAGTCTTGAGCTTGGACCAGTGCTTCATTCCCACTTGGCCGAGCGCAGAATGTGTTTAGCTGAGGCTTGGCTTCCAGTTTGTGCAAGCATCTCTTACGCAGCTCACGCAGAATCTTTCGGGCGTGCAGCCCATGGAAGCCACTTGGCCTTCTTGGCAGCCTCTTTTGTTCTGGTGAGCCCGCAATGATGGAAGGTAGACGCGGTCCTCTACCTCTTCAAGGAGACGTAGCTAGCTCTTCGAGTTTCATAAATTTGTAAACGGCACCGCCAGGAGGCAGGTGAGACTGTGAAGCAGCTGGAGCAGCATCTGCAGGCAGAATGCCTTGTGGTCACACGATTGGCCTGGACACTGCGATCTAAACACCCCTGTGAGACTCCAAGCTTCTGGGCCCAAGCTACAAAAGGCCGTAATGCGCATTCTCGTTCTCCATGGCTATTCCGGCAATGGCTCCTGGCAGAAGCACAAGGACAGGCGTTTGCAAAAGCTGCTTTCATCATATGATGTGTGGCTGCACTATGCCGATGGGCCAATCCAGCTTCCGCCATTTACAGCTGAAGGCAACCAGCGACGTCTTTCATGGTGGTCACTAAAAAGAGAGGACAGCTGGTCAAGAATGCTGGCATACTTGCTGGAGATCTTTCGCAGGGATGGCCCATTTGATGGAGTCATGGGCTACAGTCAGGGAGCTGCTGTTGCTGGTGGCCTGGCTGCTGAGATGCTGGTGGGAAAATTTCCTGAAACATTCCGGTTCGCTGTCGTCGTATGTGGGTATCTGACGCCAACTCCAGATTTCAGGCTGCTCCTCCACTTACTCGACCGGCGGAATGCATTGCAATCTGAAACGGCAGTTTTGCGCTGGCGGCGTACGAAGCAAGTTGACATTCCACAGCAGAATTTGTTCCACCTTCCAACATTACACATCATGGGAGAAGTTGACAGGGTGACTCCTGTGAGAATGAATCTGGAAATGGCAAGTCTGTTCTCAGATCCTGTTTCGGCCTTGGAGTGTGAAACGCCTGCTTGTAAGCTCAGCTTGCATGCACTCAAGGTAAGCACGATATTCCGTCTCTGCAAGTTGTTGTCTGCACAGCCTTTCGGATTGGATGCCTCGGCCAAGCTCAAGCCCTGACCCGAGACCCCGAAAGCCTCAGAGCCTTGAGGTTCTGGTTCGTCATCCTGGCGGCCATCATTTACCATTCACCACCCAACCAATTCGGGCGCTCGCCGGAACCTGAACAGCTGAAGAGCAGCAACAACTCGGACCAGGAAGCCTCTGCTGTTCTTCAGGTCAACTTCCTGATTCCCTTCATGGCTCAGACTTTCCCCTCACGGGTCCTGGAGGCCACTGATGGGATCATGAGGAAATGTGTGGAAGACAATTCAGTCGCAAAGTCACCAAAGTCACGGCTGCCAGGACACTGGCCCAGGTCAAGAGCTTTGCCTGCAATGTGCGCACTTTCGCGCACAAGGACGCTCACACAAGGAAAGGTGGCACCATGCCTTCATGGCTTCCAGACAGTCGGCACAAGATCTTGCTGGATTTGCTAGGGAGAACCATGATTCGGGATGCTTCTTGACAGCTCAGGTACTGTGATGCATGTTGGGCATGCTGGCAGGGGTCCCCCACAAGTGATGATGAAGCCTGGGCCTTGGGAACAGATCTTGCTTGTTTTTCATCCTGGCTGGCCTGTTCAAGGATGCTGAAGTCCAGCTCACCTTGGAGGTGAGCTTGGCCGGTGCCGCTGAAGAAGTCGCAGCCGTGCCACAAGAACTGCAAAGCTTCTACCCGGCGCCAAGAGGTGCAGTGGGCGTCCAAATGCAGCATGACATCTGTGGTTGATTGATATCCGGCACTGTTCGCGGAGGCAGTTGCCCAGAATCCACGCAAGTTGAAGTCCCTGATCTTGCCAAGCCTGCAATCTGCAGACGGTGGGGAAAAAGTGAAACCCGGTGCAGAGTTCACGCAGTGCTATCGGTTGAAGTAGAGTCAAAGTACCTCGGCTTCCTTACTGCAGGCCAAAGGTCCGCTGGCTGGCTGTTTCGTGCAGCTTCTGGAATGTGAGGCATTAGCCTGGCTCTCAGGAGCTGCTCCTGAGAAATCCCACCCTCTCAAACTATTCTGACCGGTTTGAGGTCAATGCCGATCACTGGGCAGTGCAGCTAGCACTGATGGAGCTTTACGCTTCGCACCCAGAAGTCTCTGCAAATGCCAATTTTCAGTGCTACCTTGTGAGCTTAGGTGAAGTATGGGAAACTTCTCGCAGTGCACCAGGAACTGTTCCCAAGGCCTGTGGAGTTCTGCTTGCACCCGCACACTCCGATCGACCCGTTCCATATCCGACTCGCTGACGTTGCATACATTCCACAGACTGTTCTTCTACTTGGTTTTGGCTGTTTGCACCGTTCGTACGGAAGTGTAGACTTTGCTGCAGCAGGGTGCTGGACATGGGAGGTGGGCTTGAGCACGAAATGATGAGTCAGCGAACCCAAGTCTCGTGTGTTTGCATTGCCTGAAAGGATGCAGTAGGCTCCAGGTCGGTGTCTTCCAGCATCTTCCAGCAAACCAGGAACAACATTGCTGCAAATCCATTAGGCATCCAAGATACAGCAAAGGGCAAACAATCTGTAGCCAGTGCCAGCTTAAGTCGCAACGGAGGAAACGAGGGCTGAACAACATAATTGTGCTCTTCTGAAGTCCACGCAAGTGGCTAGCGACAAGTCAAAAAGTTTTCAGTCAGACAACTGCCCTGCTTCAGAATTCATCTTCCAATCAGATCCAGCTGGCTCTGACTTCTGAATATAAAAGTGGAGTCCTGGACTTTGACTTAGCGTGAGCATGTTTGTTTCTTTTCGAAGTGGAGCTGCGGCAGATGCAGGTATGGGCAGAGGGTGCTGCAAGCCTTGTTAAGCGCTCGAGGCAGAGCTGGGCATCTTTTTTCGTGTACATGCCTCCAGTCTCTTATCATCGCGGGGGCGCGTGGACAGGTGTCCGTTCCAACAATCCTCATCTCGTTGCTTGACTACAAACAATGTACGGGTTCTTAGCAGGGAATATGGGAATACAAGCCCTATACAAACCTACACAATATATTCCCGTGTTCCCTGCTAAGAAGCAACAAGCCTTTGCGCTTTTGACTCGCTTGCATCTTTCTTTGTGCTGTCAGGCGGCTCGTGCCTGCTTCATGTTTGGTCGCTTTGTGAAATTGGCCGGCTGGCCCAGCTGAACTTTCGAGCTACCGGGGATGTTGGAGACTTCAAGACTTTACTGTACCAGGTTCTGGCGGTGTAGGAGTCCTAAGTTTGAATGTCTTCTTCACTGTCTACGCTCGTGGACGACTTAGGAACACATGTTCAGCTGCAGAACTGCTTTGAAACTTGCTGGGCAGGCATGAGCTATCAGCAACGGAAGCATTCTTTTGTAGCAGCTTTTGAGCAAATCTGCAAACCTGGGCCCCAACCCAAGGTCAGAGTCCAAGCTGCGCCCCTGGTGGCACAGATCCACGAAGCTTTGCAGGCCTGAGCCATTCTGCTGCTTCCGGGGTGTCTGCCTTGCTAAAGTGGCGCGGCATTCCTGCAGGATCTTCTCATTGTACAGTGCGCCCTGTGCAGCATGACTGTATCTTGAGACTGAGGTTTATGTTTCAGGCTACGAATGCAAAGCTATCTTGCTGCAGGTATGTTCCATCAGCGCTCCTTCCTGTACAGGCCACGGTGACTAGTATTGTCGCTGTTGGAGCTGTGGCATTGCAAAAATCTGCCAACTGCAGCAAGGCGGAAGTGTCGCTGACGAAGGTCGCCATCAAGGGTACGCTTAAGGCGGATGACCAGGCAACAGGGATCCTCCCTCAAACATTGATGAAATTTGATAGACGCCATGGCAAGTGGAGGCCAATCTCTTCGAGGCCCTTGCAAGCCTCGCGACAGCGAGCAGCCCGGAGGAGCGTGTGACCCCAGTGTCGTGTGGGAGGATGACTGCGCTTGACTCCTTCAAAGCACAGTGCGTCTTGTGATCAATCTTGACGCTTTCCTAAGGCTCCCTGCAAAGCTGGAGATGCTGCTAAAAGGCCAGCCAAAGAACTCTGCATATCTGCTCTTTACAGTTCTTCACCGAAGAGCTTGAGGCCCTGCTCAGAACTTGTCGGAAATTCTATCTGGTGCGGCATCGGCACGAACTGGTACTGGCCTTGAACAGTTGCAGAGGTCTGTGGCGTGTGACAGAAGTGAATTTCGAGCATGAGGCAACGATGTAGCTGGCTGCGCAGGTGTGCCGCTTAGCGGCTTAGCACTTGCCCTGCCCACACGGGTGGTTCCCAAAATTTTGTCTCCCTTTGGCTATAGATTGTATTACGGCACCTCATATTTTGGGGTACCAAAATGAGACTCTATTTCTGGGAACTACCCATTTGGTTCGAAGGTAGGCGTGTAAAAGTGTAAGAAGCCATCTACCAAGGCTGGGCTGGCCGTTGCATCGAGGCATTCGATCTGACTCGCCAGTTGATGTGTCGTTCATCCATGGCTCCTTGGAGGCCATTGCAACTGTCAGCAAAGCATTCAATTTGTCGCATCCTGGCTGCATGCTGAGGCTTCTCGCATGCCTTGTATAGCTGAGACCATCTTATTGGTCGAATGTTCTACAGTTCAGGGGTTCAAAGCCTCAGTGCGCCTCAGGCACACTGCAACAGTTCCGGCCCAGACCTCATCTTGCCCATGGCAACTCGCTAAGTGGGAGTCTCTCTAAACAATCCCAGCTCGTACATACTTCCTCAGTAAGGCCCCCACAATCACAAGCCCTAGGGCCGCTATAAGAAAACCTCGCAAAAAGCATGTTACACTTGTGGAGGCCTGGGAGCAGGTCCTGATGGTTGTAGCCAACATCCTGGAGAAGTTCTCAAATCACTTGAATCGTGAGGCGGCTCTTAAACTGGCAGCAGGTGCCTGTTGCTTCATAGTGTGAGATTAACGGGGATATGTGTCAAAATCACCGCCTGCACAAGACGAAACTCTGTACCTCCGAAGAGGGATATTATGACTGCTGACACCTATCCCAGCGAACGCTTCATGATTGCAGATTGGGCTTTGGAAAGCTGCACTTTTCCTGTGCCGGCGAATGGCATGGGACTGAGCTAATGCTCTTCAAATTGCAAGGGAACAATGCATGAAACTTGTAAAGACATTGCGCGCCAGTGCTAACATCAGCACATATACTGTGATATTAGGAATGCCCAGATGCATTGCTTGTGACAGTCACTATGGTACAGTCAGAACTAATATATCAAGACGTCCTACGTCAGGTGGAAGTTTTGGGCGATCGCTTCTTGCCCGTCCTGGACACTCTGCTGCCCTTCCTCTACGTGACCTGGCACCTCAGGGAGGGTTCACGGTCGAGGAGGATTTCCTCAAGTGTAACCTGTAGAGTTGCACATGAGGATTTGGGAAGCTGCGTGTTGCCATTCGCGTCTTTGTTTTATGTTGAAAGTTGTACAAGTTCCCCTCATCCAAGGCAACCAACGATCAGGCAGCCAGCAGCCCAGCTGTGCAGTGCGCAGATGTCAGGATTGAAATGCTGGGATACTCCAAGGATTTGACTGAACTCACCATTTTTGCGCATCACCTGGTCTGCCACTACCAGAAGAAGACTCAGCCTCATCTACAAAAGTGGCCTGCAACCCAAAGAGTTGTCTCTTTGGCCAACTTGTGTTTCGTTGCTACCTTTGTGTTCGGTTGCATCACTTACTGTCTCAAGCAGTATTTAAGAGAGCAGGTCCCCAAGTGCAGCCCTTGCAGTCTACAGCAATGTCGCAAGCGGAGAGTGTGTCCAGCCTGTCCACCGCGAGCAGCCGGTCCCAGCATATGGCCTATCTCATGAACGACTTAGACCTGGATCGCGCAACAGCCGCTCTGATGTATCGTGCAGAGCGGCTGCAAGAGAAAGGTCAGCTGCAACAGGCGCTGAATTACTTTGAGCGTGTTCTGGCAATGCGGCATGACTGTGAGGAAGCTTCAGTGAATGCCCGCATGATCAGAGAGCAGTTGGCTGAAACACAGGCGCCTCGCTTGGAACCAGTGCGAGAGGAACTATTCGGCGATGCCGGGACACTTGCTGTACATGGGCGGCTTCAGACAGCTGACATTCCGCTGACTGTGAGATGCACTGACTGCGAAGATCTGGAAGTCTTCTTCACTGAGCCCATGCTCCGGGACGTGGTATTGGACCAAGCGAGGAAAGAGCTGAGTGACACCGGCATTGTGACTCCCTTCCTGGAAATCATTAGCATGGATATCGAGCGGTACACCCCAAACGTCTCTGATGATCCATGGATGAATACCATGCACACCTGTCGTGCGGTCGTGCGTGCTACCCTTCTTCCAGGTGCAGCAGTGCAACAGTAGAGGGGGCCGGACGACAGCACAACTGCACAGCTCTTGATGCTCTGCCGCTGCTCCTAGAACGCAGGCTGCAGCTGTGCCTGTGGCTGAGTTTGCTAGAAGCTTCGGGAGTAGCCGCAAGAGCCCTTCAGTGCAGTGGCCGACCTGAGAAGCCAGGGGTTGATGAATGTAGAAGCCCTCACTGTTTACATTGTGGAGACAGACTCCATGAAGGGCATTTCATGCTCAGAGTTTTAACGGAAATCACTGAAGATCCAGATGCAGGGCGTATTTTGCAGTGGAAAAGAATGTGAAGCAGTGCTCAAGCTTGATGCAGTCAAAACTCGTGACAACACCTGGTGCAGCCTTCTGTGAAGCTGTTAGCTGTCGTACCTTATTTGAGAAGGCGTCTGATGAAGCGGCAACAGAAACATCCGCGTAGCTCATGCTGCAACTGGTGGCTTGCAGCTTTGAAAGGTAGCCGCATTATGTGAAATCATCTGAGTTTCAACTGGTCCTCCGGACATCGTTCCCCACAGGCAGAATGGCACACGCATGCAGGGTCATGAGTTGCAATGCAAACTGTTATGCTTGTCTTTGACAATCCTGACATCATCTTTCTGAAAGCTCATCAAAGCAATGGGCAATGGCACAGGACGAAGAGGCCAGCGGCCTCAGCTGCTTTGGGAGGGCATAATTTCTTCGCCGCTTTTGAACTATCTGCACTTCATCCGAAAGGTAGTCGTAATCTTGCTTTTAGGTGACCCCACAGCGGCGCCTTCAGAAGTTCTTGGAGCAGAACTTTGGTTCCACCTTGAAGGCCGGCAGCACCTGCCTGGGTTTCTGGTAGTTTCCATAACAATAGGGTTTCCCCCTTTTGGCCTATAGTGGAGAATCAAATGGAAAAGAACATGGAAAATGAAATGGAAACTGTGGTTATATAGTAGTTTACCTATTTAGGGAAATACCCAAGTAGCCCCCGATATGGATTCCCAATTATTGAAATTCCTTGAATGGTAGTGTCCATTTTCTTTCCACCATCCCTATATAACTCCTATATATACCCTATTATAATACATCTGCTGAAACTCCTTGAAATGCGGACCCCCAGAACGGGCTCCCTAATTTTTGGAGCCCCTCATAGGGATAATAGCTATAATGGGTTAAAAAGAGTTATATAGAGGTTATATAGAGAAACATATAGGGTTCTATAGGGATCACATTGGGATAATGGAAAAGAGAACTGAAACTACTA